GATCGCCCTCGACGATCTTCCACACCCGATGCACCTCAATGTTAATGTAGCAGTCGGCAATACGTACTGAATGGTTCAGCGAGTACGGCCATCGCTTTTCAGAGGAAAGGATCATGAGTCGTGGGCGTGGTGGACGGAATTGCCCCTCACCACCCACTGGGAGAAAAGTACACACAGTCTGCGTGTACTCCCATAACTCTTGTGGCTGTTGGCCCTCTCCCACCACCATGCATTCCCCTTCGCCCTCAGGAAATCCCACGATGTGACTCCACGTTGCGTTAAACACGGACTCGTAGAATCCCTCCGGCAACGGTCGTCTGCCCCTTTTCTCCTCTTCGCGCTCTCTTCCTTCCACCCTTCGGCGCTGTGCGGAGGGCCCATCCGAGCCGCCAGACAGCCCCGATCTGGGCCGGGCGTCCTCCTCCCTGCGGCACATTGGTTGCTGGGGGCTCCCCGGTGCCGTGAGATTCTTCCTCACGTCTCTCAGACATTTTTTCCTTCGTAGTGGTTAGCCTCACTTGAGTTGAACTGCAGTACAACACCAACCACCAGTCAAAAGGGAGAATGAAAGAAAAAGGCAAAGTACGCACAGACACGGCTCTACGCAACCGCAACAAAAAAGAGAGGACCGCCCACAAGGTACGCGGGGCACACCTCACAGACACACACGCACAGGCACCCCCAATCCCGCACACGACGCAACAGCGATGCATCACAACACCCTCCCACACAAACGAGGGCAAATTGGATCTCCCTCGACAATCCGTGTGAATCGCACGGCACACACAACAACTGCAACGAGGCTTCTCCCCTCTTCTCGTATTGCACTTGACATTCGGATCCCCACAGCTCTGTGTGTGCGTAGCCACACGCAAATATCACCCACTCACAGTGAAATTGACTGCCTCGTTGCAGTGGCATTTTGTGCTGCAACTCGCTGAGGTGCGAAGGAGCAGAGCACCCGTCGCCTCTTCGTTCACCCGCAAAAAGGAAGAGGGACACCGCCGCATTGTCCCCCGCGACGCAAACATACGCTGCACCCAGCACGTGGCGCAGTGCACGTAGATTCCACGAGGGAACTTTTGCCACGCAACTGGGCCGCACGGGGCGCAGCCTGCGAAGGCAGCCGCAGACACCTCCGCCTCCTTCAGTCGTCGTGGCGGTGGAACCCGCAGCTTCTCAGACGCCGGCACATTTTCCCCCGACGCAACCAACAAAAAGAGTGCGGCAGCATATTCCCCGCTGCAAGAGCAGAAGCGGCAGCCCCACTCTGCGGCCACCGCACCACCACCCAGTGAGCACCACACAATCTTCTGCATTTCTTTTTTAGGTCGCACACCCCCGCAAGGCTCTGCCACGGCAACGCATGAAAGTGGAGGCAAAAACACCCCGCCACCGTCGCCACCAAGCCACACAACCCAAAAGAAAGGCCCGAATACGCAGCAAGACGAAGTGCCGCGCGGACGCACCCACAGCAGCAGCAAACTCAGACAAGACAGGCCGCCCACCCCGTGCCACG